CAAAAAAAACCCCAACAAAACACTGCAAGCAAATGAAAGAGAAAGTTTTATTCAGATTGGTGGAGAAAGAAAGGAAAAGGCAGAATAGAAGGGAAAAGAACATGGTTTTTAATTTGGTTTAAACTTAAATTTCATGAAGCTTGAATAGAAATATTTCTGGGTGTTCCCCCAGCTCTGGGCAGGCTCCTCTCCCCAACATCAGCCATCCAGTTTACAGCCCATCACACACTCCCAGTCCAGTTTTACCCACGCTCTGCTTTGCTTTCGATTCATGACATCCCTCCAAAACATTCCAAGACCTTTGCGAGCAGGGCAGCTTTGTCAACTGGCATCATAAAATATCCAAAACCAAAACCCAGACCCGAAATGTTTCATCAAAGCAAAAGCAAGGCTCCAAGCAGAGGAATGGGAACACACGAAACCCACACGGTGACAAAGCCCCACTGATGTGCCACAAGGCTCACTCGCTTTTCCACCCCGCTCCTCCCGAGGGCTCGATGTCCAGCAGCAGCATCCATTGTCTTTGCAGATGTGAGCAGGGACAGAAGAAGGGCAGGGGCACATAAATGGATAAGATTTCATGCCCAGAGCTGCCTGAAGTATCTTTCTTTCTAAAATCTCCCAGGAGAGAACGAATTCCAGCTCATGCGTATTTCTGCGCGCAAGAAAAGCGTTTCAGAATGGAAACAAGGTTTGACTTCAGGGCACACAAATGTTACGTGGAGAACATGCAAGGACCCCACAGCAGCCAGCACAAGTGAAGGCAATATGGAATGAAGATAACACTTAAATAAAAGTAAATATCTTAAGGTAGGAGACGCCTATTAAGTCATGTACTTCAGTACAGCAGTGATACCGAGCCCAGTGATAAGTGGTACAAGTACAAGTACAAGTGATAAGAGCAGGTTTTTATTCTGAGTATAGGTCAGACTATAGAGATTTTTAAACTATCATTTTCCTCTCATTACACAACACTAGCTGAGCTTTTTCCCTAACCTCTGCTGCTTGCTTTTTTTCCCTGCACTGTCTTAATGTTCAAATTATTTCAATTACAGAGAAAATGCAAGTATCCAAAGTTCCAGTCTTGTTAAGAGCACCAGGAACACAGAAAAAAAAAATGTAACAAAGAAACAGATGCTCTATTTCCTTTACGAGCCATTTCTTGTGATTATCTCTCAGTCAGGTTCAAGTTTTGCACATAAATAAGAAGTAGTTCTGTGCATAAGCACAAAGCTTCAGGAAGGTGACACCGAGTT